CCGGGGGATTGGCCACACTGCAATCCCTTCTCCTCCATTTTCCTCTCAGGATCTTGGGTACATACGCATATGTACCCTGCATGAGTTTCAAGCCGCCAGATCTGGGACTTGAACCACAGTCAAGCACAAGGAAATCTAGTGATGCGACCATTATGCCATCTGCTGGTCACTATTATTATTATTTTTTAAATTTTCTATAGGGTATATGCACTCACAGGGAGAGATGGAGGGAAGGGCTAGTGAGGAGGCAAGTCACCAGGTCCGTGACATCGACCACAGGCAGCTACGTGGGAGCCCAGCACCTTAACCACTGAGCCACCTCCTGGCCCCCAGAGTTTCTTTATGGGGTGGTGAAGGTGTCCTGGAATTAGACAGCGAGGATGGCTGCACAACTTTGTGAGCGCACTAAACACTGAGGTGTGCACATTGCTTGTTTGTTTAGCTCTCTGCCACAGGCACGTGCCTTTGCAGGGGAGAGAGAAAGCGACGGAGAGAGGGGGAAAGACCGCCTCCCACCCTGGGGGACGGCACGCAGCAATCCCATCTCCTCCACGCCCTCACGCATGCACACGTGCCCGGCGTGTTTTTTAAGCTGCTGGGTCTGACTCAAAACAGGTGGCCATGTGAGAGTTGGCGCCCTCAACCACCAGGTGGCCTGGGTTTTGACAATTACTTAACGTCCCGTTGACGAACCATATCGATAAGTGAGGAAGGAAAACAATTCAAGTTTGATTTGCTAATTAAAGTAATTCTTGGGACCAGCAGTTAGCGTGGTGGCTTTGTCGCTGGAGTCCCATGTAGTCGACCGCGGTTCGCGTCCCAGACCCGGTGGCTTAAACTCACAACTGGGCGCGTGTGCGCGCGTGCCCAAGATCCCGAGAGGAGAATGGAGGAGAAGGGATTGCGGTGTGGCCATCCCCCCGGGGGGTGATTTCTCGCTTTCTGTCTCTCTCTCTCTTTCTGGTGTGCACACGTGCCCTATAACAAAAACCTTCCCCACTCCCCAAAAAAGTAATCCTTTATGTGATTTTTATTTCAAGTTTAAGAAAACAGTGTAGCCAAAAAATAATGTCTGTTTAAGAAACTAGCAGTGTAATTTTAAACATCACTGAGAAAACGCTGATTTAGCAGAAGGATTTAAGCATTGGTACAACGTCCATAGGCTGTTAAAACACCTCTGTCCTAAACTATAGCCAGCATTTTCTTTTTTTAAGGGTTTTTGTCATAGGGTGCATGTGCTCTCCAGAGAGACAGAGACAGTGAGAGGAATGAGAAGTCACCGCCCCGCCATCCCTTCTCCTGCATTCTCCGGGGATTCTGGGCACCCATTCACACGTGCCTGGTGTGGATCTCAAGGTGCCCAGTCTGGGGCTCCAACTGCGGTGGGCAGGTGGCAGGCCAGTGCCGTAATCGCTACGCCACCTGCTGGCTCCTGGCTGCACATTTTTAAACTAATACCTTCCGCTGTGGGCTGTGCCTGGGAGCAGGAAGGAGGGAGGGAGACAGGCTATGATGTGAGACCGCCACTCTCCAGGACCATGCCTTCAGAGTCACCACAGCGGGCGTCCCCAGCTCAGGGCTGTTGCCTCCGAACTACACAGGAAGCCCTATCCCACAGGCTCAGCGCCCCTTCCTTCTCTGCGCTGGCAGGCGGCTGGGAACTGATCGGAGCTTCGAAGGCTGGGCATCGCGACGGGTGAGGAGCGCCCCGGGGCCAGGAGAACAGCGCAGCCAAGACCGGCCCTCACACTTGCACACACATCGGCCTTGGCCACAGAGCTGGGGAAGGGACTCCGCCTACTCAGGAGAGGGGAGAGACAGATGATGGTCTCATGTTCAGACTCACACCCTCCACACAAATGCTACTCCACTCTGTGTGCGTCTTTAGGTTTTTACCATAGGGCGTGTGCACTCGCCAGAAAGAGAGACAGAGACAAAGAAAGGGAAAGCACCTCCCACGGGGTGGCCACACCACAGTCCCTTCTCCACTCCCATCCTGAGATTTGGGGCCTATATGTACATGTGCCTGGCATGATTTTCAAGCTGCTGGGTCTGGGACTCGAGCCACGGTTGACCATGTGGGAATCCAGTGCTTCACCACCATGCCACCTGCTGGTGCTCACCATTCCCGACTTCACGGGCAAAGGAGACGTGGTGGCAAGAAGCAAACACTGCGTAGACGGAGGGGGAGCCGCGAGTGAACCATGACTGCTTCGTGGCCGCGGGAGGCGCAGCCCCGGAGAGGGGAAGTGGCTCGTCCCGTCACTGCAAAACGGAGCAGTGCGAGGCTTAGAAACTCACTTCTGTGTATTGTTTTAGGTTTTGCTATTAGGTGCATGCACTCGCTAGAGAGACAGCTACTTGGCAACCCCATCCCCTCTGCTCTCCTCTCAGCGTTTTGGACATTCACGCATGATTTTGAAGCTGCCGGGTCCAGGATTCCAAAGTACAGTCAGCCCTGGGGGACCCAGAGCCTTAACCACCACGCCACCTGCTGGCCCAGAAACCGACTTCTGATAAATGCAGTATGTGGCATTTGAGGCCAAAATAATGCTTACCCTGGTCAAGGGCTGGGTGGGGCCCAGAGCAGGCCCTGAGTGCTCCGAGCCCCGAGCCCCGGAAGAGCTTCGGAGAGGCCGGCTGGCACTAACCCTCCTTGGGACCTGCCAATCTCACCTCATCTCACCTCCCGCCTGGAGAACCCTGGGGGTTTGAGTTAGCACAGGGTCTGTCCATCAGCTCTAAAGCTTTGAGGACTTGCTAAGCGCAGACATTTGAAGGCAATCAGCAATCTCAGGCCTGGGTGGGCCTGGCCGCCCTTCCTGGGCTCTCCAGAAGATTCTAGAAGTTGGAAGGAAGACTTCGGTTTGGCCCTAGAGCTCAGTGGCAGCCTGTATCAGCTTTGGGGTCAGCCCGGCTCACTTGCCCCAGAGATGCCCATGGAAGCTGCCTGCCCACAGTCCGAGAACATCTGCAGGCCTGGGCTCCAGCCAGCTGGTCAGAACACCGGGGGAACCCCGCCCTTCCAGCAAGATGTGGGGGTGCCCTGTGCTCCACCGTGGACAACCAGAGAGTCTGCCCTGAAAAAAGCGGCACTGCAGAGCCAGCTAGAGGTGCAGGCGGCGGAGACATCACAGGAGGGCCTGTGTCTCCAGGTGTCTCCAGGATGTTTTGGGGCTCAGCCCTCAGGCATCGCCCACCTGACCCAGGGCTAGCAGGCCCAGGCCTGGTCGGTTCCGTTCCCCCAAGCAATCTCACCTCCGGCCCTCGGACCTCAAACGGCAGAGTCCGCAATTCTTTATGTCACCTGCGAGGCCGCCCCCGTCTGCCCTGCCTCTTCACCCCGTTCCGGGCTGCAAGAATTCCCTTCCTCCCGGGCGACTCTGGGCCAGTTCTGGAGGCTGGGAGATCCGTCCCAGCCCGCCCAGCGGAACGCGCCTAGCGCCAGGGTGCGGCCGGTCGTGCCGGGACAGCTCCGCGCGCTCCCGGGCCGCTACGAGCGCAGCCCCGCTGTGACCCGCGGCGCCCGGCT